CTCTGCCTCTTTTCCACTAAAACCCATCTCTCACACACTGTGGCTGAAAATGTCTCCTGGAGTCCAGCTGTGGCCCACTGCTGCCCTGCTGTTGTCCTCCATGAATATTTCTGCCGAACCAATTTCTCCTGTAAATCTTCACATCAGATCCACCTTTTTCATGCTGCAGCAATGGCTCAGGCCTTTCCCTGGTCCCTGCCAGTCAAGGAGCTCCCTGCCTGCAGCAGCAATTCCTGTTGGCAGCCCCCCATTGCATCTTCTTGCATTTCATCCTGTCTCCAGCCCACCTGCCCTCAAGGTTCCCCAGTTTCTTTACTCTTTTATGTATTACCAAACCCTCCTGATTTTGTTTCATTAGCAAATGGTACCAAGGCACCCCTCCTTCCCATGCTGAATTGCTAGTGAAAATATGGAAGATCAATCCTCATATGGATCCTCAAGGATTTTCCCTTCCAGGCCAACAGATCTTCTAAAATTTTAATAACCCATTGATACCTATCTTATCTTTCTTGAACCAGCCCCCACCTCACAACTGTCAACGTGGCACCATCCCAGTGGTTTGGCCAAGGCCCAGATGTAGCGTTCCCTGCCTTTCCTCTTCTAGAAAACAAGTGAGATGATGTGTAATGCTAATTTAGCACAGTCAACATCTGGAAAACACTGGAGATTTGGAGAAAATGAAAGCACTTCAGGAAGGAAAAACTTCCATCTTTCTAGCCTAATACTGTCAAGAATTTACTGCATGTGCCTAGACTTTGATATATTACTTTGAGGATGGCATTTTGGCAGATTTTGCATTTATTTGCATTTCATTTCTCCTTTCCTCGCTTCTTCCTTTGCCCCTCTCCCCATCCCTCCTCCATTGCTTAAGTAACCACAGCACTGGGGGAAGGTAGGAGAGCTGCATCGGGATGGACGCCTCCCACCAAACTCAGACACTTGAGAATAAAGTTATATCTTCCTAGCACTTCTGCAACTGTGCCAGCCTGGGCAGGGAGCCTGCCTGTGCAGCGGGAAGACCCCTTGCCCATGGGGCTGTCCTTCAGCTCTCCATGCCAGGAGGAGGCAGCACTCCGACTGCACTTCGACTTCTGCGAGATGCTGCGTTTGGTCCTGCCTGATATTTTGATTAAGCAACAAGATTGATTTTAAAAATTAAACCAGCAAACACTGAACGGATTAAAATTCAGTTAAGCATCGTGTGTACAAAAGTAAAGAGGGAGCCCCTGTGGAGTGGGGGGATTTCTGCCTCTGAAAGGCTCCCAAGATTGGGAGCAAGCTGAGCCCAAGCCCTGCAGCCAAAAAAGCTCCTGAGCAGAAACGAGTGGCAGGAGTGTTGTGCTGTTTGTGTCCAGCAGTAGAGTGGTTGCAGGACACCATGGCATTTTTGGAAGTAAATAATCTGGATAAGCTTGGATGAAACCAGGGAGCTTCAGAGAGGAGCACTTGTGGGGAAGATGTGCCATACAGGGGGAGAGTCCAGCATCTCAGTCTCTTCAAGGCAGCAGAGATGACAGAGCAGGGCAGGGGAGCTGGGCAGACCCTGGTGGCACCAGAGCTGAGGGCTGGCAGCAGGAAGGAGCCCTGCGCATGTGGGACCTAAAGCAGGGAGTTTTCAACATCAGCAGAAATCAGTCATGGACCACTTTCTGAAGGCCCGGGTGGCTGCTTCTTTTCCTTGCTGAGAAAAGGAGGTGGAGAAATCCCAGCCATGCGGAGTGTGGTGGGGTGCAGAGAGAAGTGAGGCTCTTCCACCGCTGGCCTGTCCCGTCCAGTGTTCTGGCATGGCTGGAGATGGAACGCCAGCTCCTCTGCTTAGGGGAGCTTGGCCCGAGGGGAGATCCTGCCTGTTTGGGATGGGGGGACATAGGCCCTGTCTGGCCTATGAGCTCACAAGTCAGGGCTTCTGGCACTTGTTGGTCCTGAGTCTCCAAAGCCCCCAAAGTATCACTTGTGAGGATATTTAAACTACATTTTTAAGATACACTTTCCAAAGGGCAGCTGTGGTTCACCTGCAAAGCCCTTGTCTCTGAGATCCAGCACAGGCACCAACTACAGCAAAACCGAGGTCAGCTCAGAGGAGCAGCACATCTGCAGATGTGGTCCCCAAATGTCCCTGCACCTGGACACTGCAGGGACTTGGAGGGGGACAGTGGGGAGGGGGCTGTGCAGGGGTGCAGCCCCTTGGCACTGCAAGGGGACGGATGAGCAGTGGAGGGTGATGCTAACACCCTCCACCTCCAGTCTGTCACCCTCACTAACCAACCCCTCCCGTGACATCGCAGCAAGCCCCACGGCTCACCGTGGGCCGCGGGGACAGCATCTGCCATGTCCCCAGCAAGGTGTCCCCACCTAGCACTCTGTCCCCTTTCGGCACCGCTTGTCCTCCTGCCCTGCCAGGACAGCTCGGCCTCACCAGTGTGTTCTCACATGTGTGACTACCAGAAGCTGTGGAAGAGGGAGCTGGTGCCTTCCTCTGAGGGGAGAGAGGAGGTAATGAGCCTCCTGATTTCACAGCACCTGATGCCTGAGTGATGGCTCTTAATTGGCTTCTCTCTGCAAAAATCCTCTCCTGCTAGCCCCAGGAGAGATGGTGTTGCCACAGGCTGTGCCTCCCTGCGCTGTCTCTGCTGCAGGCTGTTTTTGGGGAGCAAAGGGGAAAGGATAAGCTAGGCAAAGAGATGCACTGCTAAATGCTTTTAGAATTTTTTTTGGAGAGGAATAGAAAATTTGCCCCGTCTCAGATAATTAGCTATTTCCTTACTGGATTGCTGTGAAGAGAAAACACTGACTGTGCCGTTAAGTGAGGTGAAGGATTTATTCCGTTTTTGTTTCCTTGTGTCTCTTTTCTCACCAGCCTCCAGAGGACAAATGGGGGAGAATCAAGGCATTTCTGCCACACCAGCACTGTTTGCAATCCCACCCCACCAATGGGCACTGCTTGGAGAGCAGGCAGCGGCTTTGGCTCTGCAAGGGGCTTTGTGTTCCCAGGTAGGTGAAGGTGCTGGGAGTGCCACAGGAAGGACACCCCACATCCTGCCCCAGTGGTTTCCACATCACCCACCTCAGGGCTGACCCCCAGGAGGGGCAGGTTGGCTGGGAGGGTGCCGGAGGACCAGTGTCCCAGTGGATCCCTTTGGCTGGAGACAGAGTCTCTCAGGGATATTGGGTCCCCCACAAACCCCACCGGCTTCTTGTCCCTTCTCCATCCTCTTGCCTCATCCCTGTGGGAAGAGGAACGAGATCCAGCATGCCCCATCCCAGCATCCCTCATCACTGGTCCCCAGCCCCCATCCGTAGCCAGCGGCCCCGTCTCGTTCGGCATGCTGCAGTGCTCGTCGAAGGGCGAGCAGCGCAAGCAGAGCCGGGGGAAGCAGGCGGGGGCTCAGATGCGTCGGTCGCTCAGATCTGTGCTGAGGCGCCGGTGTTTTTTTTCCTCGGCAGCTTTCTTCCTGGCTGCATCCCAGAGGGAGGCAGGACTCAAAGGCCACCCCCACCCTTGGCACAGGCTCCATCCACCCCATCCTTAGCTGCTTCTGAAGAGAAAGGCCCACCAGGAAGTGTTCACCTCGACATTGTGGAGGTTATGAAAGGAGCCCAAGCTGGAAGATACATGTTTTCCACTGCTGGGAAAAGAAACAAAAGCCCAGCGCACCTCTGACAGCACTGCTGTGGGCTCCTGAGCATCTCCAGGGCAGGGGAGGAATGGAGGAGATGTTCAGACAGCCATGGGGAGTGGAGGGTGGGGATGGCTCCATCCCCAGGGTCTTCTCCTCACAGTAGAAGGGCATCTGGGACACCTGGTGATGGCACTTCTTGCAACCCAAAAGCCACCCAGAGTGTGAGACGAGAGAGGAGTGTTTGGACAGAGGCATGGGAAGAGGGTCAGGGGATGGGCTTTCTGGTGACTTTCTGTGTCTGTCTCTTGGTGTCACTGGCTTAGAGCAAGGGCTGGGGGTGGTGGTGTTGGTGGGGCCACGGGCTCAGGGCAGGGGCATTTGGGGAGCAGTGGGCAAGAGGGTGTTGGGAGAGGGCTGGTGGAGCCAGGAGGTTGCAGGACTATGCTTGTGCTGGGGGTGTCAGACAGCATCTGCATTCTTGGGGACAGGCACCTGCAGCCCACTGGTGAGGAACTCAGTTGCAAATAGATGTCCTAATTACGGATAATCTATTACTCATGAATGGAGAAGGTGTGCTTGTTCTGATATATCATGTGATATATAACAAGCGTCTCCTGCTTATGTTTTAGAAAGCTCTGGGTTGGGAGGAAGAACAGCTGGTTGTGGTCTACTGCATGCTCAGCTCAGGGAACCCCAAATCCTCCCTCCCCAGCCACCAGGAATCCCACTCCACCGCCACCCCTCTGCAGGGGCACAGACCATCTCTGCACTCCCTGCCCTTCGCATCACCTCCCACAGCTGTGACGTGACAGACCCCCTGCACTCCCTTCTTCTTCCTGGACTAGAAATGTTGCCAGGCCAGAAGTCAAGGCTATTCCTCCTTCACCCAAAATTTCTGAATATTTCCTGTGGGATCAGGACCATTATGAAGCTCTGCCATGGGGCTGGCTGTCCTAGGTGGGAGAGGGACCCCTCCTCTGGGAAGACATAAGGGGGGGGCAAAAAGTCATCTCTCCCACACCCACTGGCAGGGATTAGTTTAACATTTTTTTTTTTTTTTTTTTTTAGGCTCAGTCAAATTTCTGGAGCTTGCATCTTCCCTGACTGCTGTTCCTTGCTGCCTTTTTGCTTCCTTCCCTTCTGCTCGGGCGGCTGCAGCAGACGCTGTGAGTCTATAATAAGTTATTCAGCAGCAGTCTCCATGCTGGTCCTCGGATTTCAATTTCCACATGTTTCCCTTCAGGCTATTTCCAACTAATTTCTCCATTTGCATAATGCCCCCCCTAGGGATGCTCTGGCACAGACCCTTCCCCTCCCTCTCCCCTCTCCTCACACCGCCCCCCCCCCCCGCCCCCCGCGCTTTGACAAGATCATCAGAGATTCAGGCTATTAGCGGAAAACACTTTAATTCTGTTGGCCCTTTATCCCGGTCCTTCCCTATGCACCTCCAATTAAAAAAAGACAAAGACGTGGGTTGTTGTGCAGGGGGACAGGGTGCCCACAGGGAATGGGCTGGGGGCTGCTGGCCCCCCACCCAGGGCAGCTCCTGGAGGAAACCAGCTGGCAGAATTACAAATTCAGAGGCAAATGCAGTTTCTCTTTGCCAATTCTGGTCCAGCAGCCCTAATAGTTTTGTCTGGACCAGAATCAGCAGGGGTCCTCACACCCCTGCCCCTCAGAAACCACCCATGATCCCCGACTGGGGGTGCTCAGGGGTGAGAGGTGGGGAGGACTTTAGCTGTGGGGGTGTTTGGTCTGGTCACCCCTGCTGCATGGGCACCCATGGACATCCCCTCTCCTGAAATAGCACTCCTGTCCTGCTTGGTTATTTGGAGGGATGGATGCCCAGGAAGGCTGAGCACGTGGAGGAGAGGGGAATGCAAACCATCCCTCGGCTGCTGGGTGAGGGTGAACCTCATCTCTCCTCTCTAAGCCACCTCATCTCTTCTTGTCACCCCAGTCCTTCCCCACAAATTCCGTCTCTCTCTGTGCACCAACAGAAGCAGGACCTGCTTATTCCCTCCTGATGTTTCTATTCTTCTGCCCCTCTTCAAGCACACTTTATTTTATGCTTCTATTGCACACAGAGCAGCCTGAACATGCACAATGCTCCAGTCTCTCTCTCTCTCTCCCCCTAATTCTTGTCCATCCACATATGGCAAAAAGACTACATCATCATCCCGCTCCCAGCGCTAGCTGCTTGCTGTGATCTACATCGCAGTACATCTCCCTCCGAGTTGCCCAGACACCAGCTGGATTATAACTTCCTCCAGGAACTGCATAAACACCTCCAGGTTTAAGTGAGCTCAGCACTCCTGCAAAGCTCACCTCTTCACTAGCCAGCTCCATGTCCTTATAAACAGTTTTTTCTCCCGCTTTTTTTATTAGCTCTTCCATGTTATAAATGTAATGGAAACTTTCAGAACAGCTTCTGAACAGGTCTCTTATGTGCTTCTCTCTTTTATGGCTCAAGTACAACAGCAATCGCAGACATTAACATGCTTCTTTAGGATGAAATGTACATTTGAATGGCACCCAGTTGGAGGAACATGCTGCGCCTCTTGCAGAGTTGGCTGCAGCCCACCCAGAAACCCTGGGAAGGGGGTGATGGGTGCCCAGAGTCTGCCTGCAGCCCCCTGCACATGGGGGAAGGAGGCGGCAGGGGAGCCATGGCCAGGGAGAGGGAGGGTCAAGGTGGATGCTGGGGAGCTGGGATGGGGCAGGACCTTTTAACACCAGCCCTTTGGGGCAGTAACTGCCTTCACACCCACCTCCAAAGCACTTGACGTGTTGCTGACAAGATACGGATTAGCAAAAGTAAGATGTAAGCAGGGATGCATGGGGTTTTCTTGTCAGCAGAGCTTTGGGTTGGATGGAGATAACCCTCTCCAAGGCCTGGGAAGAAGCGTGTTGGGGTCGCCCCTGTGTCTCAGGCTCCTTCCAAGTCTTTCCCCTCTCTGGATCTCATCCCCTTGCAAACAGCACTCCCACCCCAGGCTCTGCATGTCATGTCAGCCTTTTCTTTCCATCCCTCTTTGTGTGCAAGGCCCTGACTTAGTGCCGAGAGTGGAGTCCTTCACATCCTCACCCCTCCCAGGTCGTTTCTTGGGTAGAAATTGCCATTACAAGTCTTTTCAGGGCCCGGCACTGTGGGACGCCAACTTTACAGGGACTCCGACTTGCAATTATCATGACAGTCATTATTAATGCTGAGAAAACCTTGTTGTCTTTGCCAGCTTGCTCCAATGATGGGAGTGATGGTGTGCAACTATCAGCCTGCCTTCTTCCTTGTTTCTTGCCTGGGATGGGCCAGTGACCAGGATGTCCCCTGGATCAGGGGTTTATCTGCAGAGGGATACCGAGAGCATGCCCTTTGGTCACGTCTGTGCTGTGTCCTCCTACTTCGCTGCACCTGAAGGGCCAGGTACCACCCCATAGCACTGAAATTAGAATGTTGTCCCCATCACAGGAGTCTGGAGACCCCAGCAGGACCCCAGCCTCCCGGGGTCATTCCCCAGCACCATATCCCCTCTCTTCCCTGCGTGACCCCTTCATGGGCTAAGCCTGGGCACCAGTGGTGGATCTCCTGGCTGTGGGGCTGGGAGGGGAAGCCATGGCCCTGGAGCAGGGGTGATGGCACCAGCCCAGCAGCAGCATGCAGCGTCTCTCCTTCACATCTTCCAGCAGGCAAACATGCTCCTCCTGGTCCCAGCAGCCAGGCCCGTGCCCAATTCCCTGCTGTCGGATGGTGGCACCCCACAGCCTCAGGGAGAACAGGGGTCTACTGTTTGTCTGAAAAGGGAAAGAGCCTGTCAGGGCATCCAAGCCAGGGTCCCACCGTGCAAGCAGCCCTTGCAGGCACCGGTGCCCTGTGCTCTGCAGGAAAACTCTATCCCAGGAGGGCTGGCAGCCGGGGCGGTGCTGACATGCAGGTGGCAGCTATACGTGTCCCCCTTTGGAGAGATAAGCGATCAGTGCTACCACCACCCCGACGTACACTCCTGTGCCGATGGTTATGGAGAGCGCTGCGAGGAAGAGAGCTCGGCGGGAAGCTGAACTGGCCAGGTGGAAATCTCCTTTGGAGACAGCCTTGCTGGTCTGGAAGGAGAAGAAGCACTCGTTGCTCACAGCAGCATCAGCCTGGCCTTTTAGCCTGCAGGCAGTCGTTTTGCTATTGAGTCAGCCCCCTTCCCCAGCCACTGTGTCCCATGAAGGCTGGGGACGGACAGCAAAGTGTCCATCAGTCTGGGAGGGCTCAGCACAGCAGTGCCACCTACACACATTTCCCTGTTGATTTTGCCTCTGAGGGAAGCATGGGCTTTGGCTGTTTGAAAGCCCCAGCCTTCTGGGCGCTCAGCCAGTGCTGTGAGCGGGCAGCTGGACACTCGTGAGACCAGGCAAACAGTCGGTGCATGGGGTGATGGCTGTGTGGTACCGGCTAGATGCCAATATACCCTATACAGACACATAACGAGTACTGCCTAGTCTCAGGGAGCTGACTCCAGACAGCCTGATCCGTTGGTCTGGCTGTGCTGCCACTTGATTTGCCTGCATGAGATTTTTGGATGAAGCCTAGTTGCCACAGAAGGGCTGATGGAGACAGAAGTGTGTGTTGGCTCTCTGGGCTGGCAACTTCCAGCTTTCCTGAGTGCTCAGGGCACATTCAGAGCTACTCCAGGTATTACCTACTATTTGTGTTCGAGTTGCCATGTAGAGATCAGGGCACTCACTGTGCACAGACATTGAATAAAGAGATGTTCCTTCCCTCAGTGAGTGAGTGAAAGTGGTAGTTATAACAAATGAAGCTAAATATAAATTGCACCAAGTACATCATCACGTGGAGAGTGCACTGTGCTACCCTGCTCCACGTGGAAAAATGTGAAATCAAACACTCCTTGGGGTCCTAATCAGTTAAAGCTTCCCCTGCCTCTTACCGCCTCTGTCAGGTACTCATGTTATATATTCTTCCATTTCTGTTTCTATCTATGCAAACGTAGTCTAAATCTCCTGGCTCTGCATGAATTATTCTGGGTCAACAGTAATGTAAGTAAGCCCAGGCTCTGGGCTAAGCCCTCAAGAAGGCAACAGCTCCTCTGAGCTGGTGCAGCTTGAGGGCCACCACCCTCTGAACCCTCTGCCAGCCTGGCTTTGGCTCACACAGCTTAGCCAACGTGCGTCAGAAACAAGTGCAATAGAGGAGCTGTAGTGTGATATGGAGACCAGGCTCCTATTTACGTCCAGTTTGCAGAGCAGTCTGAGTCACGGGGCATGAGCTGCCTCGGACTGGGTCATGGTGTAGGACCTCCGCACTACTGGAAAATGGGAGGGCAGGTGGGAAAATGCCCAGGTGGGACCTGGGAAAGGGGCTGAGGGGAGCCCCAATTCCCTAAATAACACCCGAAAGACCCAAAGGAAAAGCCTGGCCTCCTGTAACCCCCAGAAGAGCTGAAGGGCTTGCAACCCCACAGCAGTTGTGGAGACATCCAGGAGCCAGGAGCATACTTTGCCTCAGCCCTTGGGGGTCTGGGCATGGCACAGAGATGAGCCTTAGAGCCAGAAAAGTGCCCAGTCCCCTCCAGGGCTGATGCAGGGCCCTTGCTCCAGTGCTCAGTGCACACAGGCAAGCAAAGGGATCTCTTACCCCTTGGGAGAAGTAGAAGGCAGCAATCCCCAGGGGCCAGAAGCAGCACAGCATGGAGAAAAGGGCCAAGCCCAGGTGGTCCCGGGGGGGAAGCATCAGGAAATGATCCTCACTTTCGCTGTCGCTGGAGGAGTCGCTCTGGAAAACCAGATGGATTCAGCACATCCCACCTCCCCGTGCCGCCCTGCAGGCTGTCTCAGCCCCCCTCCTCCCAGCTCCTGCTCTCTCCTGGCCCCATCACATATTGTCACGTGTTTCCCACCTGCAAATTCAAGGAATGAGTTTCAAAAATATTTTAGCCTCCTCAGCCTCCTCTCATCATTTTGATGAGAAAAAATGTAGCTCAGCAAATTCAGGAGCGGAGTGGATTCTCGGCTCCCTGCCAGAGCAAATGCTGAGCTCACTTGCTGGGGGTCTGGGATTTCCCTGGGAGATAGATAGTCTTAAACTGAAATATCTTCAGCTTTGGCAGAACTGGCTGTTTGTCAGCTTAAACAAACTTAAACAACGTGCCTTATCCCCATTAGGGACTAGGAGATCGATATCCTGCTAAACTAATTTAGCAAGTGAGGGAAAGTGGTTGAATTGAAGCCTCCATCACAGGGGCAACGCGTCCTGTCCTCTTACTGAGCGCATTGCTCAGCGCGGCTGCGGTCAGCCCTCCCGCCTTCGGGCACCGCTCGGCCAGCCACAGACCAGCTTGGGAGCGATGCCTCGGTGGGGAAGTCACGCAGAGGGGTGGGGACACCCCGGCTGCCGTCTGAAAAGGTCACACCAGTGGCACCGAAAGCAGCAGAGCTGTGCTGGGTCACCAGACATCAGCTCCAGAGGGCACTGGGGACCCGCTCCCACCTCGCGAGGTCCTGGATGATGTTCCCAGCCTCTGCACCGCCGCTCGAGCCGTGGTGGGGCACAGAGCACATCATGAGCCTGCTTTGTCAGCTCTCATTCTTCCTGTGCAGAATTCATCCTGGCTTTATATATAAAGCTTTCTCTCGGCTGCTGCCATCGGGCATGTGAATTTTGCAGTTATGCAAGGATTTCTATTTCCCCTTAGCTCAAGTGCCACAGCGGCAGAACGCTGCCCTTGTCAAAGGGTCCCCATATCCCGAGGGTCCTGCAAAGACAGCCGCACCTCCCCTTCACTTCCAGCAGGCATGCAGCCAGGCTGCCCTCAGGGCAGCTGACCTCCTTCTGAGGTCTGCAGTGAGGAAAAGGGAGCAGAAATTATAAGGAGAAAGAAGAGGTATTGGGTGCACAGGGAGAGGCTGGTGAGGCAGGAGAGGGTAGGGTCTAGGGAGGAAGCTCTGAGGAAAGAAGGGAGAATAAATGACCAAGAATTTGGGCCAATGGCCAGAGTTACCAGAGGAGGAGTTCAGTGCCATCCCACCCAGCAAAGCTCACCTCATACTCCTGGAGCTCCTCTTCCTCCACCTCATAGGACACAGTTTGGATGCGGATGTCGCTCTCTACCAGGCAGGACCCTTGTGCCTCATGCCCATCAGGACCTTCGGATGGAGCCTCTCTGCTTTCCGTAAAAGTGGTCTCACAGCTTTCCATCTTGCTGTCCTTGGCCTTGAGAGCGGTCTCATCCTTCACGAGGATGAAATTGGGGCCGTACAAGGCTTCAACGGCCAGCTGCAGGGAACTGGCATCCAGCAGCTGGTGAGTCCTGGCACTACCAGTGTTTTGGAAGATGTAGGAATACAGTTTCCCTTGGCAGCGATGACTGGGGTAGTCCTGGCTGTGATGCTGGTGGTAAGAATAGCTGCTGCGAAGGTGCCCGTTGGCTTTGGCCAAGAGTGGGTTTTGGAGCTCGCGCACGCTCTCCATGCTGCTGGCGGTGGGGGGGGGAGCGATCCTGCAGGAGCAGAGAGAGTGGGTGGGAGGAAGCTGTTATTTCAGCAAGGCGAGGGAGCAGAAAAGCCTCTCGCCCATGCGGAGCCGATGTCAGGATGAGGCTAGTGGGAACAGAAAGATTTGGCAATGCTGGAGAAAACAAGAGCCCTCCCCACCTCTCCACGGCTTGAATGCTATCTAGGCAAACTGAGCATCTCTTCATCTCTCCCCAGCTGGTAGTAAGATAAGGATGCAGCCCTGCAACAAGATGATCTGAATCAGGCTGGATTAAGATGAGGATTTGCCGTATCTATAATGCATCTTGAGGTGACCACGTGCAGCCTGAGAGGAAAGGACCTACTGCATCTTTTCTGCTGGTTCATAATGTGTGCTGCGACAAAGCCTAACAGACAGCACAGCAGTAGATAAGAGGCTGACAGCCACTTGAGGGGCCTCCCTGACTTCCCAAAGCAGAGGGTCGCATGGCGAATTACGGCTCTCCCGGCATTACACATGCATCTAACAGGTTTTCAGGGACAGAGTGGGTTTTCTGTGGCTCTTCCAAGGCTGAGCTGAGGCTGGAGCGAGAGCAGCGAGCCATCGAGGAAAGCCAGGAGGCCGCTGTGAGGACATGGGGGTGGTGTTTAGGCTGGGGTGGGGAGTGTTGGGTGCTCAGCCAGCTGTGCGGAGGAGTGGAAGGATGCAGAGGGTAAAGGGGAGACCCCATGGAGTTTGGTCCACATTGAAATTACAACAGTTTAAGTAAATGACCCATCACATCAGAGCCCTGTTTAAAGCAGCTCTACCCCTCTGTACAGCAGCAGCCGTGCACCCCTGGCTCTGGTCCAGCAGCTTCAGAAAATGCTGAGTCCAAATGACATCCTCAGCTAACATGAGTTTCTTCCTCGGGGAAATTCAGCCCCTTCTCCCTTCCTCCATTTCAGAGTGCTGAAACCTTGTGCTGCCTTTTTTTTTTTTTTTTTTTCATGAAAATTCCTGAGATGAAATATTTCAACCCCTTTTCTTCAGAGGAGCATTTGCTATTTTGGCTTCCCAACCCACTTTGGCACAAAGAAAATGTGTAGTGAAATATCAGCGTTCCCCAGGAGAGAGAAACAATTACTTTGCGCTCTTCAGTACCCGAGCCCCATGTTTTACAGCTGCTCTCCAGCACGTTCCCAGCTCTGAGACTCTGCCATCTTATTGCCTTGCAACCCCAAATGTTTCTGCCCTCCTTAGAGACCTCTGTCACTGCCTCCTTTGCAGGATGTTGTGTAGCAGAGACACGCTTCCACCTGCTATAGCATTCCCCAAGGTGCACTAGGCTTTCTGATAGAAAGCATATCACCTTGGCTTTAAATCTGTCCTCAGGAAGAAAATATAGAGAAAGAAGTTGGAGTCGAAGACGACTCCAGAGAGGGTAAGGTCCAAGTGGTCCCATCCTCTTGGACAAACTCTGCCACTCCGCACAGGTTTTGAGTGCCATACCTAGTTTGAAATGACCCTGTCGATGGGCTTTGTTCTGGCAGTGGATGTCACATTTTGGAAAGTTGCTCAGGAAAATGGAGCTGTTCAAAAGCACTCTCGTGCTGCTAAAACTCTGCACGTTTTGGTGGATGGCCTCCACTTTGCCCTCCCCAAAACCATTCTCTGCTTCCTGCAGTCTCCCACCTTACTAATAAAGCCTGTAATGGCTCGTGCAGCAGATGGCCGTTCAGTATTTTCAAAATATTTAAGAGAGATGCATATTTGTAGCACAGACGGTTTTATTTTCCACACAGACTCAGAGAATCTCAAAGCTTCATCCTGGTTTTCAGGCAAGGAAACCACAAATCTCTTCTTTGCTTATATCAATTTGCAAATTAGAATTCCAATAAAATATCTTGCCTTTTAATGAAACCGTAAAGAGACACCAGTCACTGAATGTCATTTGAGAGCAGCATCCCAAGAAGGAGCAGAAGCCCAGCTCTAGCAAGAGAATGTTGACAGTTTCAGTAGGGCATCCACACCTCATCTCAGTAAATGTTTCTGGCAGCAAGCGAGGGTAGGGAGGGATGGGATCTTGCTGGGAGCTGCTGGAGGGAGCCGGCTCCAAATGTGCTGAGAAACACCAGCAGATGGGCTGTGGGCAGGCTGCCGGCCACCGGGCAGCGGGTGCTGCCTGCGTGGAGGTTGCTGCTCTGCTCACTTCAGGTCTTCGGTAGCGGGTTAGAGGAGGCGGAGAGCTGTGCGACAAAGCCATACGTTCCCAGCAGCAAGTGCTGGGAAACAGAGCATGGAGCAGGGAAGAAGGAAAAGGAGGTAGGAGGAACTGGAAACCTAAACGGCAGCTTCGAAGGTGGCAGGTATCATGGACCAGGGTGAGGAGAATGCATCTATGCACCTGGACTGCTGCTGGACATGGAGTCCGGTGACTTCGGGCATCCCAAAGGGTGCTAAAGGGGCTGGCTGGTGGGACATGACTGGCTGACCTGGGCTGAGGAGAGGAGGCAGCGAGGACTTGCAGATAGCAAATATCCCAGGGTGAACACACTTTGGGAGAGTAACAGTGTGGGTGGTAAAAGAAATGGCAGGAAAATACTTCTGAAGCACGGGGAAGTCTCTGCAAATGTGGGCTGGACAGGGCTGAAGGCTTTGCCCTGGGAGAGCAGGTAGAGCCCAAACATCTCTGGTCCCTCAAACTGCCCTGGAGCTGTCCCCAGAGCAGGGCCAGGACCTCAGAGGCTGCTGCACTGCACAAAGCGTGGACAGGGCAGGGCTACAGCTAGCAGATTTTAGTCCATGCCATTCTTGTACCCTCTGGGATTATAAAAGATTTACCTGTACTAAACTCACTTTTCCTTGTTGCCTTCTACTTTCAGGAGTTGGGGATGATGCTCTCCTTGGAAGCAGGATGGGATAAAAACAGGGATACAGTGACGAGGGGAAAAGTGCAGAAGAAGATCTTACCGTGCTTCTCATAAATAGGCAAAGGCACCACCAAGTGCAGCCCTCACACCCAATTCTGGCATTTGTGGGCAGTGGGGAGGTGATGCCAAGGGCCAGCACCACAGTATGCCTATGGCAGCATGCTCAGCCCTGCTGCGAAGCAGCCAGGCTGAAACCTCCCTCTCTGATAGCTGATGTGAAAAGTCCCAGTGCTGGAGGGGTTAGAGATGCTTCCCACTCCTTAGTCACCAAGATCACATAAAGACCGCGCCTCTGTGTGCAAGCACGTGTGCTTGCATGTGCCAAATGGTCTGGGTTTGCAGGTGGAGATGGGTGCCATCAAACCTCTAGAGGTGAATGGCAGGGAGGGCGAGGACCAGCCCCACGTACACACAGACAGGGAAGGACAGAGCCAAACCAGCACAGATGTCATCCCTAAATGCCATTTGGATTATGTGGATCCTACAGTGAATTTAGCCACACAGGGACTTAATAAAGTAGGCCTGGTAATAAAGTAAGCCTAGTAATAAAGTAAGCTTGGTAATAAAGTAAACTTGGTAATAATCAGGCTTGAGGGAAGAGGAATGAAGCCAGCAGATGAAAGCAAGAAAGTTGCAAAAGACAAAATTGGCGAATAGTGGCTGTTCTCCATCTTCATTACCAGCGTGCAAATCCATCAGCCCCACAGACTGGGCAGTGCTGGCAGAGAGATGCTGCTGGGTGCGCAGGGAGGATGCACACATGCAGGCACACATGCCAGTTGCAGTGGTCCCCAGCAGAGTGGGAAATGCACAACTGCATTGTGTACTCTCAGCTTCTCAAGGCAAGTACTGGCTAAAAGGAGCCAAAATAAGGCATGAAAATAAAGAGGTAGCAAATTTATCTTTGCGCTTCAAGCATCTCATCTCCACATCACATCCTCCTGGGGCAGTCCAAGTCCCTGAGTGCTTTGCCCCCGCATGAGAAGTGCTCAGGTTGCTGACTGCCCCTCCCCAGCAGCAGCACAGCCCTCGGAGGGACCCTCAGCACAGATGCCGGCTATGATAAGCCCAGTTAATGATGAATTAAGTAGCTGTTCCAGGAATCAATCATCATTTAATTGCCCTGTCAAGCAAACACTCTGCCTTGCTTCCCAGGCTCATTAGCAGGTTGCGGCTGCGTTGCATGTCCCCAGACTCCAGAGCGAGAAGGTTATTCCCTCCTGGCCAAAGGCTTTCCCCTTCAGGACAGCACCCGGGGAGGCTGGTGCCCTCGGGGAGCGGTGCCCCGCTGCGCTGCTGGGCCCTGGCCAGTCCGAGGGCAGGGGACAGTGCGAATGCCAGTTCCTGACCCAGCTAATGGGAAGCAGCATCCCAGCCAGGTACAGCTGCCATCAAGCCAGCTCCTGATGGAGCAGGAAAGCGCAGGAGATGTGGTTAGCAGCCTTCCCAGAGCCCAGGCCCTTCTGGAAGGTTTTAGGAGGTGCTTTGGGGCTTCTAGGCAGAGGCCCAAGACCTGCAAAGGCACGGTGCCTCTGGGAATCCAAGCTTGCAATTCCGCCCAAGAGAAAACCAGCTCTCAAAGGCTGCTGAAAAGCAAAGGCAGAGCATCACAGGGAGGGAATTTGGCATTTTGGAGAGGGAATATGGGGATGAAGGAAGGGCTGTGAGAGCTTCTGGACAATGTGTCTGACCGGGCTGGACCAAGTCCTCCCTCAGCCCCAGGAGCCCGCACAGCAGCGTGGATATCTGCCACGTCCCAGCCCTGAGCCCACAGGGTGAAGCACAGCTCAAGGGGAGAAGGAAGCACTTTCATCAGCCCTGCAGACACGACTGCGGAAAGCGGCTGTGCCCCGGCCAGCACGCCAGCCCGCCTCCACCAGCATGCTGAGTGGGGGGCTGTTCATCCCTGGGGTGTAACGAAGCCTTCAGCAGTCCTGGGAAATGTTGCCGTGGCAGAAGAATCAGGTGAGGAGGTGACTGGGGCAGGAGGGTGGTGTGGGGGAGGCAGCTTTCAGCGTGGGGCAGGAGGGGAGGGTGGTGGGGCATGGCAGCCCCAATGGGGCTGGCAGAAATGGTACCCAGAGAAGCAAAGGGGCATGGTAGGGGCAGCCAT